AAATCTTTTTATTTGATTTTAATTTTATTTTAATTAATTTATTTATGTTGGATATTCTTGTTTTTATTAGTGTTATCTTTATTAGACTAACTAATTTGAATTTGTGATGATTATTGCTGCCTAAAATAACAGGCTCTATCAAACAATTTGCTGTAACCCTTTCAAGATTATGATAGCATTCACCAACTAAATGAATGAGGTCGTCCAGAAGAGTTGCAGGGGATTCCGAAGTCGTCTGGAGACTGTGGTTGAAGCCAATAGTGATTTTTTTAATTAAATTTACTCTTTCGTGTTTCAAGATATTTTTGTGTAATTTTGGTAAATATATCTGTTAAAATGAGATGTCAGTGTTATTTTAAGTCTTGCGTCATTTAGACGACAATTTATCCCGATATATATGCAGGTTTCGATCACAGAAAAAATGATTGCAATGTCAATCATTGAAGATGACCGATAATCAAAACCGATTGGAATTTGTAAGTCTTCACCAGACGAAGAGAAGATTAAAACAAGAAATTATATATACTGAATTGGTCGAAAGTGCTCTAGAACAATAATTATTACGAACAGTCTTTTGGCATCCCCAAACAGTAGCGTGCAGAGGGTTGGTGAAATTTGGTGATACCCGGGACAAACCCCTTGATTGTTATGCCCCATAAGACTCAAGCAGGGCTGGGGAGGCTAATACTGAAAAATGCAAAGAAAGACATTTTGAATATGTAACAACGGATGAAACATAAAATAAACACTTTAGTCCAAATTTCAAGAACTAAATTTGTATTTCGCTTTTTAATTGGATGCCCGGGGCAGTCGTACCCTCTGCGACCCCTTCTGTGCCCTACTGCCACTAAAAAGAAAAACTGTATGAACATTAGAAAAACTTAATAAAAAAATTAAACACATATTCACACTCATTTTCTGTCTTTTGAACAGGAGTAGAAGGTTTATCCCTTGTTTCCTGTTTAGGATTTGATTTCCGCCTTCTTCTCCTAAAGTCACCTCATTTTCTTTCACCAGTAGTAACCCTTTCTGTCTTAGTAGCCTTATTGCCTTGCTTGAGGTGAAATTATTGATATATATATATCAGTCAATTGCTGATACCCCCTGACGAGTAAACGGAGTGATTCCCGGAGGATCCGTCTACGAAACTCTGGAGTCGGGAAGCTGAAAGTAACATCAATCAGCTAAATGACAAATCTTTTACTTCTATTCATTTTCTTTCTTTCTTTCTTTCTCTCTCTCTCTCTCTCTCTCTCTCTCTCTCTTTCTCTTTCTCTCTATCTATCTATCTGTCTGTCTATATATAGTCCTTAACAGATTGCAGTCAAATCCTTCTTGTCTCTGTGACAGGCTAAAGTATGGTCAGTAAATATATATATTTAGTCTGACACAGGGACATAGGTGTTTTTCATCAGATGATCGATTTCACTGCAAATCACACACACTCACACACATATATAGATATACAAATATACCTATATACGATTATCAGACTAGATATAGTTAGTAAATATATATACCGTATATACTCGTGTATCATGCGACGTTTGAACCTAATTTTGAAGCTAATTTTAAGAGGGTCGCATCATAGACGAGATAAAAAAAACTAGCGTATGTACTACTGGCCCTGGCTACATCATTGACCAAACTATATATCGATTTACTGTATTCAAAACGTACTGTTCTATATCCCTTGATTCCTGTTTAGAATTGGGTTTCCGGTTCCTACTCCTAAAGGCTTCTTATTTTCTTTCACCTTCTGTAACCGCTTGTGTCTTAGTGTCATTATCGTCTTAATAGGATTATTAATACAAATATAAAATTTGTTACTTAGCTGATCCTTCGAAGGGATCACAAAAGGCATGTCAAGCTGATACCTCCTGACGAGTGGGCTGAACGATTACACAATGATTTGTCTGCGAAACCCTGGAGTATAGGTGCTGAATATAACATCAACCAACTGAGTGACAAATTAATAATCCTGTTAATGCTCTATCTCTGATATCGAGCACTTTATTGCAAAGACTTGCTTGCCTTAAATTGCCTTTTTTTCAGGCTTTCACTGACGGACGGCTTCACATCATCTTTGTTAATGTTATATATATCATATTTATTATATATATATATATATATATATATATATATATATAAATGTGTGTGTGTGTGTGTGTATGTGTGTGTGTGTGTGCGTGTACTGGAATATAATCATTTTTGTACACGCTTAAATCTCGAAAATTAGTAAATTCTTTCCTCGCTAATTGTTCAACGTATCTGGCCTTGTGCCAGCGTTGAGTTTGTCCAACAAATGTCTTATTCACGACTTAAACAGAAAATTAGTCAATTTTAATTCTCAGTCAGTGCTTTCTGGTCAACTGTTAGCTACAAAGCATAAAACTAAAGGAGGAGATAAGGATCAGGCAAGAAAGAAGATAGAGAGAAAAGGGAGTAAAAGAGAGAGAGCGAAAAAGAGAGAGAAAGGGAAGAGGAAAAAAGACAGAGTAAGAGAAAAGAGAAAAAAGAGAGAGAGAGAAGAGAAAGGGAGAGAGGGAAATAGAGAGAGTGTCTGTGTGCGGAGGTGAAAAAGACTTTAAATTCGATAATATTGACGAAGGCCACTTCACAGTTTGAATCTTAACAGGCGTAGTAAGCGAAGAAGCAAAAACAGGGGCGTGTAGTGATCACAGGATTTTCATTTGTGCAGCTACACACACCACGACGATGATCGTGCAATATATATATATATATATATATATATATAAACAGATTAGGAGGAGGAACCTAATCAACTGATATTTTTTTAATTAATTTATTTTTTATTTATCTATGTGTCACTCACATATGCGCACATAAATGCATCAAATCTACTTTTGTACGTATGTGTGAGATAATCGTTGTTAAAAACGACGTAATCTTGTGAATTCATTTAATAAGTCTGTAGTGTAGTGTATAGTATGTGTGCTTGACTTTCGATAAAAAAAATTAAAAAAAAACAAACGGGTGTAAATATATATAAAAACGTGGGTGTGCGAGTATATGTACGTGTGTGTGCATTTGTATTGTGAGCGTCTGTATGAATTTGATAACCTGTGCCCGGTACTAACCATCTCCTTATGTTAATGGTGATGCTGACTGCACCAATGATGGCAGTGTGTGTTGGTGGTCTGAAGAGTTATTTGGTTTATAGTAGTATTAGTAGTCGTAGTAGTAGTCGTCGTCGTCGTGGTAGTAGTAGTAGTATCATCAGTAATAATAATAATAACGGTAATAGAGGTAGTTGTCAATACTAGAGGTGGCGGCGGTGGTGGTGACGGAAGCAGTGTCGAGAGTAGAAGTGAGAGTAAACGTTAGGTTCTGAGTGGGAGGTGAGGTGATGCGAGGTCGGCGTTGCTGAAAGTGGGGAAGAGGATGGGCAGGTAGAAGCGTTCAGGACAGAGGGGGAAAACGGGTAGGAGCAGGGAGAGGTTAGAAGGTAGGAGTGGTTATGGCTGTAGGGGGAATAGTGGAAGTAGGAATGGACATAAGGGTAGGAGCGGGCGTTTATGTGTGTGTGTGTGTGTGTGTGTGTGTGTGTGTGTGTGTGTGTGTGTGTGTGTGTGTGTGTGTGTGTGTGTGTGTGTGTACGGGTAGTGTGTTGGATGGGTGGGTATTGTGAAAGAGAGGAGGAAATGGAGAGGGGAGGGGAGAGAGGTGCGTGCGTGTGTCTGTTTGTAAGAGACGGTAGGGATAGTGACAAGTGCGTGGAGGGGAGGGGTGGGTGCGAGATGAATCGGTAAGGAAGTGGAAAGGGGTAGGAGCCGGTGGCAGGGAGGCGGGAAAAGAGAGGGGGGAACCCTGGGGAAGGGCAGGTAGGGCAGAGTTGATTTGGTGGGTAAGGGGCATAGCAAGGAAAAGGAAAAAAAACAAAACGAGGGGTGATTTCAGAAAAAAAAACTGACAACTAAGTGTGTATGCATTTTTACCTATGTATGTATCCATAATGACTGAATATTGTGTGCGCATATATATATATATATATATATATGCACAAACATATATATTGATATTACACACACATACATACATACACACACACACACACACATATATATATATATATATATATACACGCAACAAACCAGAAGTGTGTGTATTGTGCACGGGTTTTAAAATGTAAGCTAGTGTGAGTGTATGGTATAAGTATACCTATGTGTATGGGAGTTTTTGAATATGTGTTACTTTCTATTCAATAGCGAGTGTGTAAATATACGTATATAAATTTGCGCTGTCCGTATTCCATGGACATCACTATAGACAACAGTAACATGCAGAAATGAGGGTGTGTATATATGCGTTTAAATATGTATGTCGGTGTGGGTGGATATCCCTGTTTTTGTCAGTTTATTAAGATGTACACGAGTGTACATTTGCATGTACATCAAAACCATATAACAGCTTCTTATGTTTATTATCTCTTAAGCGTATATTACTAACTATACGTTTCTGTATCGACTAATGTATGCGTTTCACAATGCTTGTAAACGAAGATATCCTAACACGGTTGAATGTGTTTAGCTATGCGTGTGTATTTAAAAATTTTGCGTAAAACTAAAAGTTTCTAAAGTAAACTAATTTTCAAAAAGAATTACAAGCAAAGTAATATGATTTTAAATAAAATATTTCAATATGATTTTTAATATGATTTTAAAATATTTTAAAATGATTTTTAGTATGATTTTAAAGTATTTTAACATGATTTTTAATATGATTCTAAAATATTTTAATATGATTTTTAGTATGATTTTAAAATATTTTAACATGATTTTAAAGTATTTTATTATGATTTTTAGCATGATTTTAAAATATTTCAATATGATTTTCAATATGATTTTAAAATATTTTAATATGATTTTAAAATATTTTTATGCGTATGTATAACATATGTGCATGTCATTTTTAGCTGCATATGAGAAAGTGTTTAAGATACACACGTGTTTAGATTTACACCTGTTTAAATTTCTTGATCAATTTATATCTATATGGATATCTATATAGAATATAGATAGATAGATAGATAGATAGATAGATAGATAGATAGATAGATAGATAGATAGATAGATAGATAGATGCTTTATTTTAGCTTGAAAATAACTAAGTGGAATGTATCTATAGCCGAGTCTGGCACAGGATCACATAATGGAAAAGAAGATTGTGTTACGCCATCTGTTGCATGCTTTAGAAATCACCATCTAAAATCCTGGGTTTTATCTGGGGATTGAACGCTGATCACTGACGGTAGTAGGAAATACGCTCCACGTTCAGCCACCAAACAGTAAGTTCAGACAATGTATAGACGAGAGAGAGAGAGAGAGAGAGAGAGAGAGAGACGCAGTATAGCTTCTTTTTTTTTTTAGAAAGTGTATATACAGTACACGCACGTCTATTTTAATGTTCATGTGTGTTTTGTGAGTACGTTTGCTGGGGTTATGTTTGTAATATGGGTCTGAAACAAAATGTGTAATGTTGAGTATATACACACTGAAGTAACGAGTGAGTGCTCGAAAAACTCATGTACCATTGATGTGTTAGTGTTTAATTAGAGACAGTAAGAAATTCATATAACTTACACATTATGGTTTCCGTATGTGTATGCGTGTGTTTATTTACGAATAATATTGTAGTGCGCATCTCTCAGGTGATTACTGTGTAGACGATTGATCTAAGCCTAACAAGTGTGTGCGCGTGTCTCTGCGTGTATGTGTGTGACATTGAGAAGCGTTTGTTTGTCTGTATTTCAAACAAGCGTGTTATTAGTCTTGTATGCGTAACTGCAATATAAGGTTTGGCGCGAACAAAAAGGTACTACTGTGTACTGTGTATGTCTTTATTGCGTGCGTAGCGATCATGATTGTGCATTTGCTGGCAGAATGTGTATTTTGTGTGATTGTGTAAGTGTGCGTGTATATTTGTTTACGAGTGAGTGTAGTTTGGTGTAATATGTGCGTCAGTTCGCGCGTGTGTTTAGAACTGTGTATTCAGTATTGTGGCAAAGATGTGGTGTCGGATGTGATTTAAGCCCCATCCCCCCAAACACAGATATATATATATATATATATATATATATATATATATATATATACAGTATACACACATATAAATATTACATATGTACACACGTGTGTGCGTGTAGAATGTGTTAGTAAATTCACCTTTAACTTCAAATTCTGTATGCTTGTTTAGTTACAGACTGTTGTGTAGCTATGGTAAACGCTCTAGCTAGCCAGAATCGAACCTAAAAAGGTGTGTATACACACGTGTTTAGATTCCAACGAGACTGTATTCGTATGTGTGTCTGTGTACACGCGGGTGTTCAGAAATGCGTTTCCGTTTTGATGTGAGTGTGTAAGCTTTTAAAATATGCATGAAGTGTGTGTGTGTGTGTGTGTGTGTGTGTGTGTGTGTGTGTGTGTGTGTGTGTGTGTGTGTGTGTGTGTGTGTGTGCGAACGCATGCGCGTGTATGTGTCTGTGTGGAAAGAGTGACAAGTGGAAGGGAGGAAGAAAAATGGGAGCGGGTGTGGTAGTGTATATGGAAGGGAAGGAGTTAGGGCGTGTAGGTGGAAGAGGTAAAGAAAGAGAGAGGGTGTGTTGGTGGGGCTGAGGTGAAGGCGAGCGCTGTTGGAATAAAGGGTAGAGGAAAGGGAAGGGGAGACGGCTGATGTTTGGGTAATGGCAAGTGATGTAGGAGGGGGTGTTGGAAGGTGCGTCGAGTGACAAGAACCGAGTGGAGGGAAGGGTAGGGGGCAAGCAGTGTTATGAGAGTAGGGTTTGTTAGGGCAGAATGGAGGGGGTAAAAATGACAAGGGGAAACGACAGGGTAAGGGTGTGTTTTTTGTGTGTGTTTTTTTCTCTCTCTTTCCTTGTCTCTCTCTCTCTCTCTCTCGTTTTTTTTTATTTATTTGTGTGTTGGTTTTTCGTTTTTATTCTTTTAGTATTTTTTTTTTGAAAAACTGAGGATAGAATGGTTAAGATCGAGGGTGGAAGCCAGAAGACGCAGTGAAAGAGAAGGGAAAGGGTTGGATCTGGGGAAGATACATGGGTGTGTTTTGATGGTGGTGGTATTGGTTGAGGGAAGATGGGGTTCGGTAGTGTAAGTGGTGTGGTGGTAGAAAGAATGGTCGTATGGTTGTGTTGCGTGCGTGTGTGTGTGTGTGCGTGTGTGTGTGTGTGTGCGTGCGTGTGTGTGTGTGTGCGTGTGTGTGGCTAGAGGGGGGCCTCCCCAAGAAGTGATGAGGGCGGAATAGAATAGGATAGGGTTGGGGATAGAGATACACAAAATGGAAGTGGACGCGGTGGGGGAGGGACAACGGAGCGATAGACGAGAAGGTAAAGACTATAATGAACAGTGGACAGACGACTGAAGGCGTGCGCGCGCGAGTGCGTGTGTGCGTTAGTGTGTGTGTGCGCGTGCTTATGTGTGTGTGTGTGTCTGTTCTTATCATATAAAGATAGGTGAATGTCCATAC